AGTTAATGATCAGGGTTGCAGCAGATAGAACCAGAGTAAATATTACTTCCTCCGTCCCAAAATAAGTGTCTCAACTAACTAAAGTTAAGATACTTATTTTAGGACAGAGGTAGTCTGATATAGAATCAATAATGTTCAGGTAAAACTGTAACTAGTGGATAATCACAAGTGATGGAAATCATATAACTGCTAAAGTAAAGGCGTACAATTAGAGTAAAACATATGCCAATAGCTAATGATTCAATAACCAATGGTCTCTCAATTTCACTGGAGGACCCTTCCACACATATCCAGCAAGAAGCAGGATATTAGGCTACCAAAACTCGTAGAAGAAATTCCTCTCAACCAGTGTTCAAGGATAGAACTGTAAGTTCCTATTCTTACACAATGCAACGGAAGGGCCCACAAAATTGTTACAGAAATTAATTGTTACACCAAAGAATCGTTTGCAGTTTATAACTGACCCATCATTTTCGACAATCTTTATGTATTAAAGACCACCATCAACTCCCAGATTAATTTAGAGGATGCACCATGATGATCAGAATCATGATTAGGATTACTTATCCAACTATCAGAGATGTGCATTGCGACCATCAACTCAATCCAGCCACAGAGCTACAAAAAAACAATCACAAGCTCATTTTTGTGTTCTAAGGTGGCCTTTGTTTGAGCTTCGGCTTCTGATTCCGGGATTCTACTCCTCTGAAAATCTGAATCGCAAACAAACAGCCAGCTACCCACCGTAGATTCTAGGAATCGATTCTAAAAGTTAGACTGCGAGGCGTCCCGAAGCGGAAGCTGCGAATTGGATGATTCCCGAGCTGCCACTTACCCCATTAGAAGTATACCTAGTTTTCTCCCCGTTATTACAAGACATATGCCATTCCCTGACCTCCGTCCACCGTCGAGCGCAGATAGGAGAGGAGAGCTACCCCGCACATGGCGAATGTATCGGCCACTCCATCTCACCGCCCCCGTCGCCAACTTTGGGTAGGGAACCGGCTGCTCCACTCCTCCCTGACCTCCATCCACCTCTTGCTGCTCTCCATCGATCCAGCCGCCACCCCAGATCTCCGCGTCGGCATCCATGGCGGCTGGATCCGAACACACTCGCGTATCCGACCTCTGCCACAGTGCTACCTCACCACCTCCTGCTCTCCCTGCCGCCCCAAGGTCGATCTGCGCTGCCCCAACCACACACCCCCTGTACTGCATCCAAGCCCACGCATGCGTCGTTCCTGCTGATGGCCGGCATCCAAGCCACAGCAGATTTCAGGAATCTGTAGCCCAAACAAAGGGGGCCTAAAAGCTCAGCGTGCTTTGGTTTTAGCTCCCCTCAAAGGAAATTAGCATGCTATTACGCAGATAACTGCTCATCTACCAAATTCCTACGAATCCTTGCAGTTATTCCAATAATTTGCACGGTCAACCACCCAACCCACACAATATTTCGCCATCTACCCCCCCAAAAACGCATAATACAGCAGATAGCACAGCTTCCATAAGACGAGCAACCCTAATTCGACGAAGTTCCATAAGAAAAGAGGGGGGCATGAGAAGACGAGACGAACCGAGCGGGTGCTCCAGCTTGAACGAGCTCTTCGCCATCGATCTACCTTGGTTCCTGCAAACACCGAGCTAAGAGATCAACAACAGAGCCCAGCCACGAAAACACGCGTCGACCGACCGATCGATTCAACCGAATCGGGACGGATAAGGACCCGAGAAAATCCCCACGATGAATCGGGCCGGAACGCCAAATCGATCGGGTCAGATCCCCGATTCGAGGGAAGCCGACGCGGAATCGATCGAGAAGCAGGGCGGATGCTCACCTGGGCCGCGGGATTCGGCGGATTTGGGCGAGGGTTTGCGACGCGGAGGAGGAGGAGGCGGCGGGGAGACGGGGGAACGGGGCGGTGGGTTGGGGAAAGAGTGGGGGATTGGGGGTTGGTTAAGTAAAGGGAGGAGGCGAGACCCGCACGAAACGTCACGAAATAGATAACTTTGATTTTTATAAAATGGAAGGGTACGCCTACGTTTCCCCCACGGAAACGGAAACCGACTACCGTGCGCCGGTGGCCATCGACCTCTTTGTTTCAATTCGAATTTGCAAGGGAAAGCAACCTCCGGAATTGACCAACTCCTCCTTCTCTTTGTGTGTAAACTTCTACTAACTTGGAACACTGAGAGTTTGTTTTGTGTTGTGGCACATTTTTTAGGGAAGCCATGTTGAATTGTCTTGTTATTAAACGTGGCTTGTTTGTGCGGCTTCTCGGTGCGCGGTTTTCGGGGCTCGGGTTCCATGGAGCCCAATATTTTAAATTTTTCAAAAATCAGCTTTAAAGGTTTAGAAAAAATACATGTCCGTATAGAGAAAGTATTTGTATGTGTTTACAAATTTGTATGATGAATTACGTTAAGTTGTGAGCTATAAAAACAAAATCAAGGATTTATGGTGTCTAGCAACAAAAAAATGTTCTTCGGTCTTGCATATTTTGTGCAATGATGTGGCATATTCACGCAAAAATCTTTGTGTTGCTATAAAAAAGAAGACGTTGATTATAAAGCTGGTTATTGGATTCAGATAATCGTTCCTTCGAAACAAACCCTGGCTGATGGGATCATTTCCCCATGTTACTTATGTAGTCTACTAGAAGCGAAAGAACGCGTAAAATGAGCCTACCTCAGATGGTTAGGTTCTTTGTGGTGGAATCAGCCCATCAGGGTTTAACTCATAGATCTTGGCATTGGTACTCGCGTTTTCCTGTATTTTTTTCAAACTTTTCGGTTATATTCATTCAGTGGGAAGAGATGTTCCCGTTGACTACGGAGGCACTTGTGTTGACTTTATCAATCTCAAAATGATATGTCAACTCGTCCTCTCGAGGATGCTTATAGAGGTAGGGTGTGTGCGCGTGTGTTCATAAGGGTGAGTCTATGTACGTATGTATGAGCATCAGCGTCTATACTGTGTAAAAAAAAAGTGAAAAGCATGCTCACTACACCCTTTTTTGTTGATTGTTATGTAATTCGTTTAAAGATTTTTTTTGCTTATTGTGTAGTTCAATGCATCACCTGGATATCCATATCACTGCCTTTCATTGCCATTTTCAAAAGCTCTGACTAAATTAACAATGTGGCATGCAAAAACGAATCTTACAACCACCAAAAAGTAAGCTTCTATTGCATCTTTAGGTACGGGCGTATGGGATGCAACTGAAGAAAAAGATAGCACAATGCCAACAATGAGAGACCAAAGTCAAAAGAGAAGTTGAATCAACTGTCACAACATGAACTAATGAAAGTTCAATTTAAGCTTGAACCAAGTATATCTAAGTGTGCAAAGAAGTTGCATTGCCATGACCTGTTTGAAAAATTACAAGGGCAAGTGCACTAAGTAACACAACATGGATTCAAATTACCGCAAAAAAGAGCAAATAATTATAGCAACTATTACCAAACACAAAGCAAGCAGAACCAACCATATGCACACAATTAATCATGCAAGAGTTTGCATTTACATAACTCGTTTACAATTGCAGGTGCAAGTCTTTTGTCTAAAGTTGCAGTGAAGTATGAATCTAGTTATATCACCTAACCATCATAGACTTAAATTTAGAAGAAAAATAAAAAAAAGCATATTAAGTAGTTCCTCAATCTGAAAAAAAAGTGGTATAGGAATACATTTAAAGCCTCAAAGAAATGCCCTATGGATATATCAATACATTGCCTCATAGTTGAGAAGCAACCATTTTTAATTTAGCCCCTAATAAAAATATACTACCTATTTAATTACATACTCCTCACTTTACCTATGTAGTAATGTTGTAGCTTCGGCCAAACACTTTTGGGCTTAGAGATGACATGGTTTAAAGTGGATAAGATTGTTAGGCACGAGCATATGTCACATTCCGAAAAATTATGGTACATATCATCCAGGCCCTGCTAACTCCTAAGACCTTGTACAATGCTAGATGCTTAGGGATGTGCTTAAAAAAATAAACCAAAATTTTCTAAAGCACCAGTGCCTATTTGTAAAGAAAAGACACCTAATTAAATGTCTACCCTGTACAAATAAGCACTGGTGCTTGAGGAAAGTCTAGTTTATTTCTCTAAGCACCTTGCATTGTACAAGGCCTAAAAAGTGCATGAAAATGAATTCATTTAGCAGTATCCGGCTATTTCATGCACCAAGCACAAAACCAAATCATGTCGAACCAATAAATAAACATCAACTTCCTGACATAAACACACCACAATAATCTCATCGAGATCATACAAAATTCAAATTCTATGCACACTCATCCCGCACGGTGCATGCACAACGTAGGACCAAAGAGAAACATAGATAAAAACAACCATGTATTTTTCTCAGGTAAAAAGCAACTATGATTTTGCTTTGAGACCGAACACAATCTACTTTAAAAAAAGAATCAGCCCGAGTTAGACCGGGGGAGGATGGGATGCATACCGTGATGAGTTTGAGGAAGGTAGTTCAAGTGCCGCTGCAGCGTGTCCTAGACGGTGGTGTGACTCACGGCCAGGCCTTGGCGGCCTCCCACAGCTCGCGTGTCGCCTGTTGCTGCAAGCCCCGTATGGAGTGTCTTGTAAAATGTTGTTTGCTTCAGAAAGCACGTGAAGTTGACATATAAATTTTCCTATGTTATACTCCCTCCGTCCCATAGGAAGTATTTCTTTACAATGGGAGTACATTTGATTAAAATTTTGTGGAGCAGTCATTATTGGCTGAAGTCCGTTTTCTGAAAAAATTCGTGGAACAGTCGTTCTGCCGGAAAAAAAAACCGAGTGGATAGTACAACGAAAACAATCCCACCAATTTCTAAAAAAAAAAGAAGAAAAAAAAAAAACAATCCCACCAAGCTCGTCTTCCCTCCGCCTCCCGGTGTCTCCTCCCGCGATCCCCTTCCCCTTCCCCGCCGGCCGCCGCGCCGCCTCCCGCAGCTCCCAGCACGCCGCTACCTCCGAACACGGGCGCGATGCTCCCCCCATCCCCAGTGCCGCCTCCCTCATCCGCTCTTCAGCTCCCAGTCGTCGAGCCGTACGCCGCAGGTAACCGCCGGTCAGCTCGATCATGGCAACCGCCGAACGTGCAGCAAGTCGGGGTGGTTACCTCCTCCACCACTACAAAGAGGTACTGGGAACTCCTGCCTCACGTCCTCCTCACTTGCCTCTTTTTTTTTCTCATCTTGCCTCCCTCGCTCCCGTCCAGCGGCCGGAGCCCGCCGACCTGCCTTACCCTTGGCGTGGGCGAGGCACGCGCAGCTCCGGGACTGGATTCGCACAACGCTCGCGGCGCCCGAGGCCAACTCCATTGCCGCCAGCGGGCTCCAAGCTGAGCTGATCCGGCGCCGTGCTGCTCGCGGTTCCGCACGGTGCCGCGTGGTAAGTGGAGCTCCGATCATTTAATTTCTTGATCTGCAGCAACCAATACATTCTCTCGACAAGAGAGAGCAGAAATGTATATCCCGAACTGCAACCATTTAGTATTGTAGTATATGACAAGTTAAGCATAAGAATGAAACATAATATGGCTTTATTTTTGGCACAAGTCTGGCCTCTTATGCTCACTGTATGAACCGTGATGAAAAGTAGTGCTCGTTCACTAGAGAGCTAAATATCTGTCAAAATACCTGTGAAACAAGATTTTAAAGACTTCCAATATCTGAACATCAAGCTGAGCTGCTGTTGTATTCTTTACTCTGTCAATTGTCTGAATGCAGAGAAACAAACACATGAGAAAAGTAAGAGACTAATGGTCGAATCCTACAAATACCATATTCAGGTTGGCCACAATGACAGCATAAGGAATTTGCCACAGCTTATTACTCTCTCCGTTCACAAATATAAGATGTTTTGGATATTTCAATACAGACTATATACGTTCTGAAATGAGTGAACACACACACTAAAACGTGTCTATAACTCTATATACATCCGATTCAAAAGTTTGAACATCTTATATTTGTGAACGTAGGAAGTAATATGGTTTTTTGCAACTAAAGTTTGCATAAGAGCCAAGGGGCGTACTGTACTGTGAGACTCACCTCTTGTGCATCCTTTTGACACAAAGATGCCACAATAACATGAACTTGGTTGGTGTTAGCAGCTAGAAATTCAGAAGCTGGCCGGCACTCTTCCAGCTCTAAGAAATTAAACCATTGTTCCTACTTTATCCTTGCTGCCATTAATTTCACATTCGCTTACTCTTCCTATCTTTAGACATATCTCAGTGGCATTAGGATCTCCATGGGGTGCACTAGCTATGTAAGTCAAGGGATCAATTATCATATCTAATGTAGGAGTATCACCTGCTCCTATTTGTAAAGGAAGGTGTCATATGTTTCAGAAAAAAAGTATATCAAATAAACCTTGTCTTTAAAAGCATGATTTGGTGAGGGGTGCTAAAAGGCAAAGTAAATCTGTATCTTTTATATAAAATGCATTACGTCGGGTCACATATGTTAATTAAGGTATGTTTATATGGTCATAAAATAGCCGCCAAATATTAATGCCAGAACAGTGGGGTTAAAACATAATCCACTAATAATAGATATAAATCGTACTCAGATCGATATGCCTAAATGATAAAGCAGAGTATGCTTTAAACTTGAGTGATTCAGATTGATATGTTAATAATATTATTAGCATGGACTTGTAAATGTCTATTGAGGACTTTGCCTAAATGATATTCTGATCTTCCTAATTCTCTTTGGGGTAGCAGGGCAAGGTTGAGGTGTGCATGATCATATTCATCCTATTCTGCATGAGCCAGTCCTCCAAAAAGGTGAGTGCAAGATCTCTTGTGGTTTTTGTTGCCAGTCATAGAAAACAAAATATATGTGCATGATCCTCAACCACTGCTATATCATAATTAGTGACAATAAAATGGCCAACACAGTTAGCACACTCAAGAAATTATGCAACAACTTATAATCAAGTAATCTACCAATTGATTCCCTGGTCATGGAGCCTACCCCAACTTGTTTGGGACTAAAGGCTTTGTTGTTGTTGTTATTGCTGACTATGCAGTAAGTAGTAGCATATCACTACGTGAAATTACGCTACACTGCTACAAGGGATGTTGACTAACATATTATGTTTCTACTTTCTGCACAAGTGATGATGAAACTTCTCTTGAAAAGCTAGCATACAAGGCAATTGAATATTGGGCTTCAGACTCACATGCAGCTAGGAATATCAAAGTAGAATTGACCTGACATTGTTGCTATGGCTGAGATAGGAACTAGGAAGCATGCAGTTTGGATTGGAGCGGAAAAACGTAGTAAAGTGTGGTTGCATCCGAATAGTATGTTTCCAACGTGTGGTTATAAAGAGTAGTATTACTCTGTTGATTAAATTACTTGCACAGTATGTTTCCAAAAATTTGTATTATTATCTTACAGTTTGGTTGGTTGTCAGGGTGTATATGTTGATCATAAGAGGGGTAGAAGTTAAATATAATCTCCACAAATTCGGATTATGACTTTAGTTATCTTTCACAACAGGTTTGTATTCTAAGGCAACTCATGGACATTCAACTAGTCTTCTCAATTTCTTAGAATTTTTGAGATCTCTCATGCAATTGAGAATAGAGTATGATTCTTGATTTATTAATTAGTTTATTGTATAGGTTTGATCAATTGATTGAATTTTAAGGAGCAACTTTGCAATTGAGATGATATCACTATGAATAACAATTTACAGTTTCATTGTCGGTGTCGTGAACTTTATGTGTTAAATTGTTGCATTAGAGAAAACAATTGACTCCTCATACCCATGTCAGACATCCTGGTTCCTGCGTTGCTGAGGTCACGGGTGAGGAGCTAGCTAGCTAGCTAAGTCGATCATGGAGGTGTGGCCGCCGCTGCTGGTTGTTATCTTCACGCTCTATGTTGTCTCTCCCTGCTGCGGCCTTGAGGCCGTGGCTAAGAACGTGACTGTGGCACAACTACTGCCGATTTCGTCGTACCATGGGGGTTTGGCTACCTACAATGCCAAGAACTTCGGCGCTGAAGGCAACGGCACCAACGACGATACCAAAGTACGTATCCAGTTCCTCAATAGATTGCTTGGTTGGTGTTCTAATTTGTTTCTTTCTTTGTTGTCGCGCTCGAACTATGTTGTAATCGATCGCTACCTTGGTGTTGGTGTGCAGGCGTTGATGGCAGCATGGAAGGCAGCGTGTGGTGCATATGGCACGGTGACGCTGTTGATCCCGCCGGGGACGTACTACATCGGGCCGACGAAGTTCCATGGTCCCTGCAAAGCCTCCGCCATCACCTTCTTGCTCCAGGCAAGCAGTTGTGCAGTTATAAGATTGCAGTGCAAGCACGACACGACAGGGAAAAAGGGGAGTCATTTTATATGCTTGTGCAGGGGACGCTCAAGGCGGCGACGGATCTGAGGCGTTTTGGCAACGACTGGATCGAGTTCGGGTGGGTGAAAGACCTCACTGTGGCCGGACAGAACAATGCCATCATCAATGGCCAGGGCGCCGCCTCCTGGCCCTTCAACAAGTGTCCCTTCCAAAAGGACTGCAAAGTCCTCCCCACTGTGAGTATCCATCCGATTTCGTTACACATAACTGGAATATCATCTTGCACTTGATCACTTCACCGGCAGTCACTAAGTATGTGACGATCCACATGTCTAAATTGATGGAGTGCAGAGCGTGCTGTTCGTGAACAACCAGAACACGGTGGTGCGCGACATCACGTCGGTAAACAGCAAGTTCTTCCACATCGCACTGCTGCAGAGTAAGAATATGAAGTTGATCAACATCCAGATCAACGCGCCGGAGAACAGCCCAAACACAGATGGCATCCACATCGAGCGAAGCACGGGTGTGGTGATTTCCGACACCCATATCAGCACAGGAGATGACTGCATCTCCATCGGCCAGGGGAGCGACAACATCGACATCGCCCGCGTCCACTGCGGCCCGGGGCACGGCATGAGCGTCGGCAGCCTTGGACGGTACGTGGACGAGGGCGACGTCACCCGCGTCCACGTCAGGAACATGACCTTCGTGGGCACCATGAACGGCGTCCGGATCAAGACGTGGGAGAACTCCCCTACCAAGAGCCTCGCCGCGCACATGCTGTTCGAGAACATGACCATGAAGGACGTGCAGAACCCCATCATCATCGACCAGAAGTACTGCCCTTACTACGACTGCGAGCACAAGCACGTCTCCGGGGTCACCCTCAAGGACATCACGTTCAAGAACATCAAGGGGACGTCGTCGACGCCGGTGGCCGTGCGGCTCCGGTGCGGCGTGCCGTGCCAGGGCGTCGTGCTGCAGGACGTGGACCTGAAGTACATGGGAGAGGGAGGGTCCTCGTCGAAGTGCGAGAACGCCATGGCCACGTACGTTGGCTACCAGCACCCAGAGCCATGCGCCTAGTCGGCCGATTTGATTCTGGTGGATGCTGGTGCGACCTCAATTTAGTTCTCCTTTACTTCTTTTCCTGTTGCTTCGAATGTTTTGTGTGTGTGCGGCATTAGGGAGCCGCCAATTGCTGGCGTCTACGCCTCTACGGAGTACTTGCCTAGCTGCTCAATCAGAGAACTCGATCGTCTGACAAGTGGGCTCTGTGCTTATGTTGACGATCAGTGTTCTTATGTGGACGATCAGTGTGCTTATGTTCACCACTGTGCTTTGTGCTCGAAATCGGGAATCTGTTATTGTAGCTCTGCACTGTAGTGACGCATCCTGGAATCTGACGGCTTGAGGTTGGCTAAGTCGGCGCTACCTCGAGCCGTCAGATGCCCCCTGACTTGGCGTGGCCAAGTCAACATTTTTCGACAAAGAAAATATATTAACATCGTGAAGATATCAATTACATCAGCAGCACTAACCATCATCCAAGACAACACCCGAAATACAAAAAAGGTTCTCCAAAAGCAACGCCTCTAAGAAGGAAACAATGCACAACCGTTGTCGTTGCCCGATCAAAAATCTTGGGTTTTCACCTGGAGAAATATTGAGTTTATCCAAGAACAATGCCTTCAACAATGTCATTGCCAGGTACAACTAATAAAGGCCAGACCTTGAATTTTCACCTTGGGAATCAAGACTTGGTACTCGAGGAGCACCATCAAAAATGCAGTCCTCCAGTGTTGCCGCCCCCGCTTGCTGAGGCCGCAGTTGCAAGTCACCAACACAATGAGCAGTGGATCATCATCTTCTCCTCATCTATAGTGAGTACTCCCTGGGACATCCAGTGATAGTAGACGACCTCGACTCAACACGAGCATGCGAGATAACACCTTCAGAGCCTACTGATGTTCAACCACGACCGCCTTGAATCCCCATGTCCACACCTTGAAAAATCAGGGCCATGGTGGTGCCAATGCCGATGTTTCCAAGGTGGCGACAATCTGTTGTTGACAATCACCAAACACCCGAGCACACAACCTTCTATAGCGTCGGCGATGCATCTGCATCAGAGGTGCGCCGTGGCGGATCAGTAGACAGGAGGCGGTGTCCTTGGGTAGCACGAGCAGACCGGACCTTGTGATGGCGCCACTAGGTCCGGTTGGGTCGACACAGCCACACTTGGGACCGTGGAGATTCAATGGTGACATGGTCATGCAGTCTTAGAGGGGATCACCGATGCGATCTTGGGTCACGGGTCAAGGAAGGGGAAGCAACGAGAGTCGCCGGCGTCCCGCGGACGCACCGCACACCAGCAACCTCCCATCGTCGTCTTCCAGCACAACCCGTCGCACGCCGCCGTTCCAGAAACCCCGACCTTGGCCTCCATCGCCCCACATGAAGTAGGCCTACCCTAGAAAAAAGGAACCCCGCCACCCTTCGGTAGCGGGCTCACCACCACCACGGCTCAAGCCGGGTGGCAGCGGCGGAGAAGAGGTCCGATGTGGAGTGTGCTGGCGGCGGCGCTAGGGTTCGTCCCTAGCGTCGCCTGGGGAGTGACGTGAGGGACGCTTGAACCATTTTCCTTAAAATTGGGGGAGAATTTTACTTCCCCGCCCTCTGCACCAACTAGGAATTTCACGCCGAGTCAACATATCCAAGTACACGAAGTGCAAGTAGAATATGTCTCTATACTTTTCTTTTGAACATAGTACAGACACAAGCGCTCACAGATATGCGCATACACTCACCTCTATGAATACACACACATACCCTACCCCTATGAGCACCTCCAAGAGACTAAGCCGGCATATCCAGCTCCTCCAAGAACGATCGCGGCTGAAAACGATCGCGGCTGTTGAGCTTCCACGATATCCAGCTCCTCCAAGAACCGCCTGATAAAGCTCATGGTCGACAGTGGGCTTTGAAACTCATCCTCATGGATTGCTTTCTGTCGAGCCCACCAAATCGCCCACATTGTCACTAGAACACGCGTTAAATCCTGCTGGCTTGTTGTTTCAAACAACCAGAACAACCACAGCCGTGCGTCGGCGTTCTGGTTTGATATCACATGTTCCAAAAGCTCATCATCACCCAGGGCCCATACGCATCTAGCCATGCGGCAGCTCAGCAGGGAGTGACGCCAGGTATCCTCCTCGGCTCCACAAATCGAGCACGCCGGTGTATCCGCCATATTCCTCTCATGTCGAACAAGCCTCGTAGGGATCGACGTGTGGGCTAACCTCCATACGAACACCCTGATCTTGGAAGGAACCCGCACTTTCCAGAGCTGTGACCAAGAACTCTTATCTGCTGCAATATTTGAGTGCCCCGGTCGGTGGTCGAGCCAGTCCTCCCTCTGAGTCTTGACTATAGATATCATTCGGTAAGCCGATCGAACCGAGAAGACTCCCCTCTTATCATAGTGCCAGGCCCAAAAATCTTCCTAAATCCGAGTGCTGAATGGAATGTTCATAATAACTTCAACATCGGGAGCAATAAAGTGTTCCATGATCACATGCTTATTCCATGACCTGGTGGTGGGGTCAATCAGATCCGAGACTAGGTTTGGCGGATTGGCCGACCGTGCACATATCGATCGAAGTTTGTAGTCTCTCGGGAGCCAGTTATCTTGCCATATGTTTGTGTGTGTTCCTGATCCAATGCGCTTGATGAGCCCTTGTGCTAGCACGTCCCTCCCCTCTAATATAGAGCGCCAGACCTGGGACGGACCTGCACCCAAAACAACATCCAAAAGATGACAGTCTGGAAAGTACCTGGCTTTTAGAACGCGAGCACTGAGCGAAGCCGGGTCCTGTAGAAGCCTCCAAGCTTGGCGTGCAAGTAATGCTAGGTTAAACAACTCCAAATCCCTGAAGCCCAACCCTCCCATGAACTTGGGTTTGTACATAGTTTTCCATGACGCCTAGGCAGTTTTTCGCTGGCCATTCTTGCTCCCCCACCAGACTTCCTGATGATACCATTGATATGCTCACACAAGCCCCTTGGCAATTTAAAGCATGACATAGAATATGTGGGAATGGACTGGGCCACGGACTTAATAAGTACCTCTTTCCCAGCAGACGATAAGCACTTCTCCATCCACCCTTGCACCTTCTTCCAAATTCTATCTTTCAAATATTTAAACGACCCTTCTTTTGCTCCCCCCACATCCGATGGCAAGCCTAGATATTTCTCTGACAATGATTCATTGTGAACAGAAAGTATGTTCTTGATGGAATTTCGAGCATCATTTGGTACTCCTTTACAAAAGAAAATGGATGACTTATCCATGTTTACCCTCTGACCCGAGGCATTGCAATAGATCCTTAGTAACTCCTCAATCCGAGTTGCGCTTGCATCAGTTGCTTCAAAGAAAAGCAAACCGTCGTCTGCAAATAGCAGATGATTAACTTCAGGTGCATTCGGCGCGACTGTGATTCCACGTACTCCTGCGCCGGCTTTCAACAGACATGAAAGCCCTTCTGCTGCTAGCAGGAACAAATATGGCGAGCTAGGATCACCCTGATGCAAGCCTCGAGAGGGCTTAAACCCATCCAGACTCCTTCCATTAAAGAGAACTGAAAAGGAGACCGATGTCACACATCTCATGACCGTATCAGTAAAACGGGGACTAAAGCCCATCTTTATCATCACAGCTCGCAAGTAAGACCACTCCAAGTGATCATACGCTTTCATCATATCCAACTTTAAAGCACAGTATCTGTTTCCCTTCACCCGCCTAGTTTTCATGTAATGTAGACATTCATAGGCTGTGATGAAGTTATCTGTGATGAGACGACCAGGAACAAAAGCCAACTGCTCTTCGGAAATGATCTCGGGGAGGATTACTTTCAGCCTGTTTGCTAAGACCTTCGAAGCGATCTTATAGATCACATTGCAAAGAATTATCGGCCGAAATTGTCCTAAAACTTTTAGACTTGCTATCTTGGGAATTAAAATGATGAACGTATTGTTGATCTCCTCCAGTGAGTCCACACCATCAAGCACTCTGATGATCATCCTTGTTACTTCATCACCACATAAGTCCCAATGTTTCTGAAAAAATGTGTCGGGAAACCGTCCGGCCCTGGTGCTTTAGTTGGGAACATTTGAAACAGAGCTTCCTTAACCTCATCCTTACTATATGTTGCATTCAGGCGGGCATTCATATTGCCATCCACCCTCACCGGTATGTGCGATAACACCTCTTCCATACCTATTGTTCCTTCTGACGTGTACAAATTTGAATAAAAGTTCGTGGCCATGTCCGCGAGTTCGACCGGATCAGTGCACGTAGTTCCGTCATTACGGTCCAACTAGGTTATACTGTTTTTGGCCCGCCGAGCACTAGCCTTCCTCTAGAAAAATTTGGTGTTACTATCACCCTCGGACAACCATGAAATGCGTGACCGCTGTCTGGCCATGATTTCCTCTCTGTACGCTAATTCCACCATTTGATCCTCGACCCAGCGTTCCTCGTCGCTGGGCCCCGTACGCAACGGGTCTGCACGCAACGTTGCGAGTTGCCGGCGTAGCAGCCGTAGCTCCTTACGGACCGACCCAAAGGTGATCCGTCCCCACCTGGATAAGGAGGTGGCCACTGCCTGAAGTTTGTTAGACAATTCAGTCACCGAAGAGGCTAGGCCATCACTTCTCCATGCATCTTCTACAATACCGTTAAAACTGAAGGAAATATCCCCTAGAGGCAATAATAAAGTTATTATTTATTTCTTTATATCATGATAAATGTTTATTATTCATGCTAGAATTGTATTAACCGGAAACATAATACATGTATGAATACATAAACAAAAACAGAGAGTCACTAGTATGCTTCTACTTGACTAGCTCATTAATCAAAGATGGTTATGTTTCCTAACCATAGACATGAGTTGTCATTTGATTAACGGGATCACATCATTAGGAGAATGATGTGATTGAATTGACCCATTCCATTAGCTTAGCACTTGATCGTTTAGTTTGTTGCTATTGCTTTCTTCATAACTTATACATGTTCCTATGACTATGAGATTATGCAACTCCCGTTTACCAGAGGAACACTTTGTGTGCTACCAAACGTCACAATGTAACTGGGTGATTATAAAGGTGCTCTACAGGTGTCTCCGAAGGTACTTGTTGGGTTGGCGTATTTCGAGATTAGGATTTGTCACTTCGATTGTCGGAGAGGTATCTCTGGGCCCTCTCGGTAATGCACATCACTCAAGCCTTGCAAGCATTGCAACTAATAAATTAGTTGCAAGATGATGTATTACGGAACGAGTAAAGAGACTTGCCGGTAACGAGATTGAACTAGGTATTGAGATACCGATGATCGAATCTCGGGCAAGTAACATACCGATGACAAAGGGAACAACGTATGTTGTTATGCGGTCTGACCGATAAAGATCTTCGTAGAATATGTAGGAGCCAATATGAGCATCCAGGTTCCGCTATTGGTTATTGACCGGAGACGTGTCTTGGTTATGTCTACATAGTTCTCGAACCCGTAGGGTCCGCACGCTTAAAGTTCGATGACGATCGTAATTAGGGTTTTTGTGTTTTGATGTACCGAAGGTTGTTCGGAGTCCCGGATGTGATCATGGACATGACGAGGAGTCTCGAAATGGTCGAGACATAATGATTGATATATTGAAAGCCTATATTTGGATATCGGAAATGTTCCGGATGAAATCGGGATTTTACCGGAATACCGGGGGGATTACCAGAACCCCCCCGGGGGTTATTGGGCCTACATGGGCCATAAGGGAGAAGAGGAGGGCCGGCCAGGGCAGGCCGCGCACCCCCTCCCCCTAGTCCGAATAGGACAAGGAAGGGGGGGGGGGCGCCCCCCTTTCCTCTTTCTCCCTTCCTCCTTCCTTTTCCAACAAGGCAAGAGGGGGAGTCCTACTCCCGGTTGGAGTAGGACTC